ACCTGGGTAGTACCAATTGCAACTGTAGAGGGTGTAATTTTGCTTTTTTTTAGTCCCTTCCCTTAACCTTACAAATACTTTTTCAGCTCATCGTAGGCAGCACTGAAGGTTTATCCATATTTCATAACGCTATCAAGTTAATTTCAGACTATGTTCCGTAGAAATCCACATAGAACACATTAATCTTTCAGTTAGTTATTTGAGCACCACATATTATTGTGTATTACCTACTGTAAATGCTGTTTTCTCTCAGCTTTCTTTGTCCAGTTCTACTTGCTGATCTAAACTTGAAAATCAAATGAGGCGAGATAAACAACAAAGGCAGAAGCAATCTTTAATAGACGAAGTTTCCTTTCTTATTCATTTGTTATCCCATGGATAACATTCATCTAGTGGATTCATGCAGTTAACTCCAGGACGTATGTGGAAGGTTTGGGTGACTTCAGTAGCTAATGTTTATCTAGGCGGTTTAATTGTTCAGTTCACTCTGGTCTTGCAAGCGGCCTACTTGATTTGGAATGGGAACACGAAATATCCATCTCTTTACGCTGTTCAGACCTGTTCATACTTGTTTCGTTGTACTTTTCTGCGACATAATTCATGATTTGTAAATCACTGCAAGCTTACTATCCATGAAATCGACAATGACTGCCTGTACGTTTTCTTATATCAACTAATCTCCAGTGACGTAACTGTGTTTTCATAAATGGAGGAACGGTTTCTGTAACTAGGTTATGTATGAGGGTATTTTACTTGGAGGAACGGTTTCTGTAACTGGGTTATGTATGAGGATATTTTACTTGGAGGAACGGTTTCTGTAACTGGGTTATGTATGAGGGTATTTTACCTGGAGGAACAGTTTCTGTAAATGGGTTATGTATGAGGGTATTTTACCTGGAAGAACAGTTTCTGTAAATGGGTTATGTATGAGGGTATTTTACCTGGAGGAATAGTTTCTGTAACTCGGTTATGTATGAGGGTATCTTACCTGGAGGAATAGTTTCTGTAACTGGTTATGTATG